ACATAATATAAACTTACAAAATAATTTTTTTTTCAAAAAATAAGTATTTTTTATGAAATAAGTTAAAGTAAACGGGTTCTATATCTTTTTTATTTTGATTTTATGTTGTGTATATATATCATGTCAATGGGATTAATAATTTTAACCATATCCTTACCAGAATAATTTCTTCCATAAAAATATATTTATTATATTTTTATTAAATAAATTCGATGATAAAATTTCATTTTTAAATAGAAAATTACCTATGTGATGCTCTCAACTGACCCATATATATATGTATGTATTTTACTTCTTGATTAGGTAGAGAAATACTGTTCAAGGAAAAAAAAAATAAAACCTCCCTATCAAAAAGAATCATATAACTTTCAACAATCATTAATGATGTAAAAGATATTAATTCCAGTCAACAATCAATATAACAATCAAGGGTTTACATAATTCATAATTCATGAATAATTTGATTTAAAAGAGTTTTTATGTTACATATAAATATGATATGTCACGTTCTGCATTAAATAGATTTTATTTTTTATATTCAATGTAAATAAAAAGTTTAATAAGTTTAATTTTAGAAAAATAGGATAAGTGGAGTCGAAAATTTTTATTAGAGATGAAATATAAGAGAAAAGGTTAAAGGAAATTAATTAAAAATTTTCAACTCACATCATTCTTTTCAAATCAAATCCATTAAAATCTTCAGGCCAACAAAAAAAAAGAAAAATCCATTAAAAATCTCCCTCCTCGTTCCTATATTTCCCTCAAGCAAAATAGAGGATAAAAATAACAGAAGTGTTTTTGATGAAAAAAATAATAGAAATTAAATATTGAGCAAACATCGATTTGAAAATTTTAAAATAAATGATACAATTTAAATTTAAAATATATAAAATAAAAATACATAAATAATTATAAATAAATGACTATAACAATGAAAGTATAAATACCTATATCATTTCAATTTGTGTTTGCTTTTAGTATTTAGAAGATATAAATAAATAAATGACAATTTGTTTGGTTTTATCATTTGTTATTTTCAGTCACACTCAAACGTCAACAACAATTAATTGTATTGTATAAACAACAACATGCATATTAATTAATGTTATAAAAAATTGTTATTATAAAATGTGTTATCCTTAATTGAACTAAACTTTTTTTTTTGATGAATTAATTGAACTAAACTTTAAACAACGAGTTTTAGTTCAGAATTTATTAGTTCTTGCATAAAATATATATAGATATATACATATTTAGTTATTTTAATCTTTAATTCAGGTGCACATTGAGAATATAAATAATAATTATTTTTATTTTATTTTTGTTCGTCTTTATTCAAAAAATATTTTATTATGGAAAAATTAAAATTTGTACAGTATTTTGTTATGTTTTATAACTTATTAGCTCTTTACATATTACAAAGTTAAAGTAGCATATTTTATTGTAAACTTTATTGTATTTTAGAAGTTATTTTAATGGCAGCTTATTATTTTTTTACCATCTGTAACTATTTTGCATAGTAAAAATATAAATAATATTTTATTACCTTTTACAGTACATATTAAAAATATAAGCAACAGATTATTTATTTAAAATTTATTATTGTGTTTAAATTAAAATTTAAAATATCAATTTTTTTATTGGATTTCATACTTGATTTATTAGAACTTGTATAAGTTTAATTTATGATTTTATTACAAATTTTACTCACCTTTTTTTACTGAAAGTTTGATGTTTTTTTTTTTTTTAACTTTAGGTTCCATTCTTACTTTTTTTTGTTTTTGCTTTTTCTTTTTACTTGAAGCCCCTCAATTCTACTCTCTTCTCGTTTATAACATAATAATTTAAAAATTACTATAAAAAATTAAAATGGAAAATGCAAAACTATAGTACCCATCCACGCAAATTATTATACATTTATACTGGTGATGAAACTGATAATGATTATGTCACAAGACAAACTTTAAGAAGGTAAATAAAAAAAATAACAATTAGAGACCCATAAAAAGATTAATAATAATCAAAATTTTTAAATTATTAAAATCTCAATAAAAATTAAATTTTTATTTATAATTTAAAATGTGAATAATCAATTAAAAAATTAATAAAATATATTTGAGATTATTTATAATATTAATTGAAAATTTAATAGAGACAATTATAAATCACAAGTCAATTACTTATAATTTTTTTAACTATTAGTTGAGAAATTAACAAAGACTAAGGAATCTTTGAAGTATTATTTGTGACTTAAAAATTTACAAAAATATACCATGACTCTCATATCAATTAATAAAAAATAATTTATTATAAATAAAAATATTATTTTTTATTATAATTTTAATAATACAGAATCTGTAATTATTATTAATATTTTTGTGAAATTCTTAATTTTTATTTTTTAAAAAACAAAAGAAAGTTTTGTGGGTGGTAAAAAAAGTTATATAAATATAAAAGAGCAAAATAAAAAGAGGAAAAAAAAAAAAAGATGAAACAGGACGCGCTTTCTTTACGGAAGGTGGCGGAAGAGCGCCGCAACAAAATGCTGACTTGGCAATGTGTGATGATAAAGAAGCCCCTTCCGTGACATTATCAAAAAATAAGGGTGTTCAGTTCGGACCCGTCCCGATTGGCCCGGTATCGTCCCGATCATATTGGGACGGGTCTTGTCCCGGCCCGAAAATAATCGGGACGGGACTTTACGGGACGAGACAGGAAAGAGGTTCGGGACGGGACGGGACACGGGATTACCATCGGGACGTCCCGTCCCGTCCCGAATATTATATATATTATTTTTTATTTTAAATATATTAATTATATTAATATAATTTATACTTATATCAATTATAATTTTAATACTTATAATTCTTATTTAAAATTAAAGTTTTTTTATATTGATAATTTTAATGGCATGGAGTAAACATGGCGATATCTTTCTTTATAATATATTAATTATATTAATATAATTTATTCTTATATATATCTATTTAATAACTTTTATTTACAACGTATTTTTTGCTTATTTTTAGAAGAGTAATTAGCTTAGTACATTTTCACTAAAGTAGAAGAACAATGATTTGATGTTATATTTGACTTGTCTATTGTTACTAATCTTATAATATAAAGATCATTTGTGTTTATTATTATAATGTGTAGTTATGATTAATATGATTCAATAATTGATTTTAAATTATTGTTATTTATGTACTTGTGTTGTTTTGATTTTAAACTTAATAAATTATATGATTTAAAATTTTAATGAATGTTATTATCCAGATCTTTTTTTGATATTATTCCATTTATCGGGACGGCGGGACGTCCCGATCTTGTCCCGGTCCCGTCCCGACTCTTAACGGGACGGGACGACTTTCGGGACGGGACGGGACACGGGACCAAAATTCAGTCCCGATCTTTTTCTCGGGACGGGACACGGGACGGGGGTGTCCCGGTCCCGTCCCGTCCCGTGAACACCCCTATCAAAAAACATAAATTTGAAAAAATACATCTAACTTTTATTTCATCAATTATAAATACCCGTCCTTTACATTTTTTTATTTTAATTTAAAATAATTATCACTTTAAGTTAAATATCCTAAAAAACTTGGATGTATTACTACTGTTTTTAGTTAATCCCTTGAACAGTTGAATCAATCAGCCTCATTTGTATTTATCACTTTAAAATTTTAATGTAGCAATTTATTGACTTGATCTATGTGGCTATTATCTACAATCAACCCTAAATATCCCATTTGGATCGTGGCAAAAAAAGAAAAAGTCCCATTTGAATTCTAATGGTTCAAGTTATTTTTATTTCTGTAAAGGAATGATAGAACCTTTGATTCTTTAAATTTTTTCAATTATTTATTTAATTTTTTGAATTTAATTTTTATCAATTTAATCCCTTACATTTTTTTTAAATTTATCATGATAGTCCTTTAGATTGTGAAACACAAATTGTTACTCAAATTAATTTTATATATAAAGTTTATTGATGACTTCATATGTATACCTGGCTTAACAAAAACAATTTGACTCTCAGATCAATTTAGCTTCTTGCATTATGCTTTATTCTTTTGTTTTTTGTTTTTAAATGTATGAGTCTGTTTACTTTTTTTTTTTTTTCCTGAAGCCAATTCAAACATTCAATATTTCAAGACCAAGTAAATTTAAAGAAAAACTATAACTTTAGATCTTTATATTTTGTTCTTGTTTTGCTATTTGTTCTTGTACATTTTTAAATATTTTAGGTCTCTATACCTTTATTTTTTTAATATTTTAGGCCTCTTCAAAATTTCTAAAACATTGAAAAATAAAAATATAAAGACTTAAAACATCAAGAAAAGTATATGAATTAATAGAAAAATGTAAGTAAAGTGTAAGAATTTAAAGTTATATTTTTCTAAATTTAAAAGATTAAATTGATAAAAATTAAATTTAAAAGATCAAATTAATAATTGAAACAAATTAAAGTAATAAAATTTTTATTATCTTTTTTTTGTAACAAAAAGTTTAGATAAATTAAATTTTAGAAGTTTATCAAAACTAATTAATATGCTTCTAAGTTCGAACAGCGCTCACATACATAGTTACATATAACCTATGAACGATGTTTTCACATTGCTAAAGGAATTTAAACTTACAATTTTATAAATTATAAATTAAATTTTTATCAACTAAACTGATATTTGTTAACATAATAGTCCAAGTTATACACACACATATATTAAAAATTTTAATATCAACTTATTTTATTATAAAATCACAATTAAAAGATTATTTTATTTGTGTATAATATTTTATATTAAAAACAATAATTTGTATTCATATATAAAAATGGATCATTCAAATTTAATGTGAATAATATAAATTTGCAACCTCTCCCCACTCTCACAGGCTAACTAAAATGCAGAGAATCCGTCCTTCTTCCCTTCATCACCACTTTTTAGTTACTGCTAAGGCTTAAAGTTAAACTCTGAGATTTGGCCCCACAAAAAAAAAAAAAGGGTTAAACTCTGAAAACGACAATAATTTGATTCTCCAAAAGACATAAATTTTGAAGAGGACTATTAGATTTTGAGATGAGCGATTATCCTCCTCCTCCGATTAGAAAAGAATGAGTCTCCCATGTCGCCTGCCAATGGAGCCCATTGGAAAAGACGTGGAGAAGCAGAGTCTTTTGGAGCGAGAGAGAACCTAGTCAATCCTCCTGAGTCAATTCTTCAGTTTTTGAAATCCAACCCCTCCATTTCTCTCTCTCTCTCCCCCCCTCCCTCCCCCACTTCACCAAATCTCTTAAATTTTAAAAACCTTCCTTCATTCTCCAGATTTTGATCTCCCAGCACAGCATTCCTGTTCATTTTTCTATTGCTTGTTTCTTCTCCCCCTGGTTTACTTCAATCCAACTATCTCAGATTTTTCTGCTGTTTCTCTGGGATCCTTCCGTGAACTCCTCTGTTTTTTTTTTTTTTTGCTTCTTCGTTTTCGGGAATTTGTTTCCGACAACTATAATTTGATTGCTTCTCTTGGTTCTGTTTCAATTTTCTTGAGCGAACCCAATCATGGGGATTTGTTCGGACAGGGTGAAATTCAATGTCGGAGGCAGAGTATTTGAAACGACAGCGACAACCCTTGCCAACGCCGGCCGAAATTCCATGTTCGGGGCAATGTTCGATGAGAGCTGGAACTTCATCCGCGATAGTCACTGCGCCGAGTACTTCATTGATCGCAATCCCGATTGCTTCGCCGTCCTGCTCGATCTCCTCCGCACCGGCGAACTCTACATCCCACCCAACATCTCAGAGAAGCTTTTCTATCGTGAAGCCCTGTACTACGGACTCCTCGACCACGTTCGCTCTGCGAAATGGGGTCAATTCGACGGCAACAGATTGATCCTCTCCGGCTCCGTCACCGGCCGAGCTCCCGGAGACGGGACCGCTATCCGCGCCGGCCCCGACGGCGGATGCTGCGTCGCTCACGGAAGCATGGTTCATGTCTACGATTGGATGCTAGAAGAACATCCTCCGCTTAATCTCGATTACCAGGGAGTAAACGACATCGGATGGGTGGATTCCGAGAATATCCTCGTCGGCGTCAGCGAGCGGCTCGGCCGCGGCGACGGCGGAATGGGACTCTTCAGCTCGTCGACGGGAGACCTCCGATATAAATTCCAAGTCAGCCATGAGAATCAAACCAAGAGCTTTACCGCTGGGGCTTTGAGCTTCAGTTCAGATTACAAGATATTTTGTAGCTGTAGAGGAAGAAGCAATGAATATGGTGTTGGTGTGTGGGATCAGGTAACTGGAAAGCAAATAGACTTCTTCTATGAGCCTCTGGGTTGGTCTCTTGGTGATGCAGATAAGCTTCAATGGCTAGAAGGAAGCAATTGCTTGCTAGTGGCTACTCTGTTTCCCAGAAAGGATAACTGTTACATTAGTCTTTTGGATTTCAGAGAGAAGAAGATGGTTTGGTATTGGTCAGACATGGGAGCTTCATTAAGTATGGACGAGAAGAGGGTTCGAGATGCCATAGCAATGGAGGACAAAAACTCCATTTGCGTGGTGAATGAGTTTGAGGATCTCGGTTTTATGGATATAAGAAGCTCTTCTGCTTCAAATATCAGATGGAGTTCAAGGAGTCGCTTGATGAAAGGGAAAATGCCAGAAGAACCTTGTTATCCCAAGCTTGCATTACATGAAGGCCAGCTTTTCTCTTCCATGAATGATTGTATTTCAGTATTTTGTGGCCCTGAGTGGGTTTTAACGTCCAGGCTAAGACGAAGCTACGGAGGTTCTATCTGTGACTTCTCAATTGCAGGGGATAGGCTTTTTGCTCTTCACAGTGAGGAGAATGTGTTTGATATTTGGCAGACTCCATCTCCACCAGTTATCTGATTTTTTGATAGCTTATAGGTGTTCTTTGATTTGAGATATGATCAGCTATTAAATATAGATACCTCTCTTGATAGGGATTTGAACTTAGCTCATCATGTTATGAGAGATTAACCATTTTCACTAAACCTAATCTCCATTAGTACCTGTTATCTGATTTTTTTTTTTTTTATTGTTATTTTTTCCTTAGAGTTTTTGACTAAGTAATGTGAGTGATTATCTATACCATACCATCTTACTAGAACTTGTTAGGTTCAGCTCTCATGGATTTGTTCACAGCTACACTAAAAGATTATACATTGTACTGATGATTTACTCACTCACGTCTAGCTACTCATTTCAAAAGTTCAGAGTTATTATTATGGTCCTTCAATTTGTTCTTAGCTTTAACTTTTTAAGGATCGTCATGTGCTCTTTAAATCTCTTTTTTCCCCTTTCACAAGTACCATAGTGAAGTATATCCTGCAATATATGAGAGAATATAACTTGCTCTCTTAGAGATCTTTCAGAAAGGTGGCAATGGATATTACGCTCTGCTATATCAGTCGCCAGTCCCGCACAGAAAGAAGTGGAAGGGATGATTCTTATAGCATGTGATGTGAGGAGCAGTTGTAACTGCTAAATATTTTGGACAAATACGGGATGAAATGAAACCACTTTAGTTAAAGTTTTTTCTGATGAGGATGATAATGGTGGTGGTGGGGTGGGTTGTAGCTTTGGTTTTGAGCAACTCTTTCTCTCCAAGTTTAGTACGAAGTTAAAGACAAAAAATTGAACTGTGTTTGGTAGAACAGACCCATCAAGTACATAGATAATCCTTATCCCAATTTCTTAAGCTATCCCATACGCAATAAATGAGTTCTCTTCTATCAAAGAGTTTAATATTAATTAAACCAAACTTTAAAAGATTCTCATTTAACTGAGAAATAAAAGATTGATGAAACTCTCTGTACTTCCCACAGGATAAGCTTTCTTTTTCTTCCAAAGAACCTTTCACTTTGGAGTTTGCACACAGTTAACATTGGATTTGCTATTAGATCCAGAAGAGGACAAAATAGTGAATTAACAATTTGTTCAGCCTTAAGCCTTAAGCCTTAAGAAAACAATCAGTGTATATATAATAATCTTTTGAACATAGCAAACTCATCTCATACTTTTTTAACCCAAGATTTCTAAGGGTCATGGTAAAAATGAGTTTGATATAATTTTTTTCCCTAAAAAAACCGACAATTCGGGCAACAAATAATTAGTTTAATTAAAAGAAAAACTTGAAATCACTAAAAAAAAAAAAACTTGAAATATCAGCAACATACAAATAGGAGATACCCTGTGATAAGACTCATTGCCTGCAATAGATTGAGACAATGTTCAACTTTTCTGCTCCATTCCCCGAGTGCTTTAATCCGTTGGACAAATACACACACACACACACACACTAATAACAATCTAACAATGTGATCATCTAAAGAGAATCTGACTTCAGATTTACTTAAATATTTACTTCATCCTAAAGAACATCTCTCTGTCATCAGCCGCAACTTGGCAATATGATTACCCTGAACGTAGTAAACTCCTAGAAAGCTTAAACCAATTTTCTTCACTTGCCAAAATTGATACAAGAGAAGAACCATTTTTCCGTCCCAAAAAAGGGGAAAAAATTAAAAGGAAATGAATGGCATGCCTACTTTGGCACAAAAAGATAAAGTTCAGATAAGAAAGAACCAGGATGGACCTAGTCAGTCAAGCATAGTCAGGCATAACTTTCTTCAAAACTGTAATTGGATAGGAATCTTCTGGGGCAAGCTTGTCAAAGCCAATATAATTTTCCTCCTTGTTGTATACATGGCATACTGTCATAATAGTCTTCATCAATCTCCAATTCCACGTAGCGTCATTCATATACTGCTAAAGATACAAAGCAAAAATAAACTTGTAGTAATCACCAACAATAGCATTCCTCTTAGGATAAGACTTAGGTACACTTCATAGTATTTTATTTATTTATTTATTCACTTTTTTGATAAAAACACTTCACAAAATTTTTCTTATTTGGTTCTTTAATTTAAATTATAGCAAGTGCAAAAAATTATTGAACTTAACTTATAAAAACCATACTTATAATGCTGTAGTCGGAAAGCTGATAACAAAAACCTATTTGTATGTGGGTATTTTGATTTCTCAAGAATTTGAAAAACCTATTTGTAGAACTTAAGAGCATTATAATGAAAAATTACAGTTTCTGTTGTATATTTCCTAAATAACATAGATATTGATTTTGTTATATATCTGGCTCAAATTTTGTATAGAATCCTGCAAACCAAATATCATCTTTCCACCCAAGAAAAGTTATATAATAGTTTATGCGGTCTTCGTTTGGTTCTCCAACCATGAACAAGCAGGTTAGTTATTTCCTTTCTCAATCAAAATAAACAAAACTTTACCGCTTTCCCTAGTGGGCAGTGGCTAGTTGGTTTGGTGAATTTTCCTCACCAGAATGTCTCCAGTTCAAAGCTAACAGAAAGATTGCAAGGAAAACAAAACAAAAAAAAAACAAAAAAAAACAACACAAAACTTGCAAAAATATTTTATTTAGACTACTGCTGAATTGGTAATCAAATTCAATTAAATTTCTTGTAATGATGTCATAATATGCTTTTCATGCAACACTGACCTCTTAAACCTCATATGTACAATCAGAAAAGAATTGACCTCACCTTTCCCCAGTTTTCTTGCAGAGACTCATGGGCTGCGCGCAAGTTATAGCTTGGTATCCTTGAAGATACGTGGTGTGGAATGTGGACATTGATATCATGACAGAGGATCTCAATCCTGCGCAGAAAAGGAGTCAGATTATAATGATTCAGTCAACCCTATGTATTCTCTAGTGCGGGAGACTGAGATTAGAAGATAAAATGCAAAAAGGGAATAAATTTTGTTGTGGATGCATCCATGTGAGGCAATTGCCTACCATATGAACAAGAGGATGGTTACATAACAAATTTAACATATTCAAATAAAACAACAACAACAACAACAAGCCTTTATCCCACTAGGTGGGGTCGGATACATGGATTACAAGACGCCATTGTACTCTATCATTTATCAAGCTTTTAGGAATATTATTAATTAAGAGATCGCGTTCAAGAGATTTAACATATTCAAATGTGGTAGAGATTTAAATTGGTATGAGAAAAATGCAGGCCATAAGTCAAAATTGGTTTCCATCTTCTGTTTTGCTTTCAATGTTGCAATAAAGCCCCATAATGGCTTCCCTATTAATTGAAGATCTCTATATATAATGCAAAACGCAAGCGCCTGAGTAACTCTCCTCCATCTAAAGCAATGACAATCTATGGCATTTAAGACAACCAAATCACAATGTCACCAAATTCTTTCAAATTTGTTTAGTTTTTTCCTTGACCTTTCCATATTTTTTATCTGCTAGTGAGCAAATACAATACAATGCCTAACAGAAACAACTTATACAGATTATCCAAGATGTTCATAGAACCAGAGACCAATCATCATCAGCAAGATAGCAAGAAGAAATCACGAGCAGCAATAACTGGATCAGTTTCCTAACTTATCCGACCAATCATCATCAGCAAGATAGCAAGAAGAAATCACGATCAGCAATAACTGGATCAGTTTCCTAACTTATCTTCATGCGTCACTTTATCCACACGAAAAGCATGCATTAGAAAGAAAGAAACAAAGAGAATTCCATACCACTTTGGGTAATCACAATGAATAGTTCCACTAAGTTGTGCTTGTGCAGCGTTCCACTCATCTGAGTATTTGAATGGTATGTGTGGCGCAGTATGATGGACCATGGTGAAAGTACTCATCTATAATTGGTAGCAAAATAATTCATTTTAGATGGACAATTCCCAATAATTTGAAATTTCAACATATGATCAGAGAATTGATTAAATCAAGAAATTCAGACTGAAAAGAATATTTTAAAGTTCATATAATATCAAGAGGTAAGTTCAAAACCAAGGAGAAACACTACCCAAAAGTGGTAGCCCAACCAGGGCATCAACCAGAATTTGATCCACCCCATAATTCCTGTCTTGTAAATGATTAATGGCCATCCAATTGCCATGAAGCCAAAAACACAAGCTAAACTTATCTTTACTCTCTTTATTTCATTTGACCTGAACTTCTTCAAATCAAAGTGCCACATCAACCTGCCAGGTATATTTGAAGGTGGAATGCAAAATTAGGGTTGCTCAACTCAATAGCAATAATTCTTGAAAAAATGAACAGAGTTACACGTGTACCATACCAGTGAGCAATAGACATCCAAGGTCGAAATGGACCATACCCATAAATTATTGCTTGCCGCAACAGAGGAGATGAATCAAATTCTTCTTTCCAAACAGGGTGCCAGGCAGTGTCTTCATACAACCTATAACATTAGAGATACATTGAGAAAAAAAGACTACATGGTGAAGATATATTTATTAGTATTTGCAAGCATGCATTGATATAATATGGGATGGGATGTTTCTCATAGCAACGACATTGGCATGCATGGCATAGATAAACCAGCACACACACTGAAGCGTGAACAGCCAGAACTTTTTTTGTGTATCATTACCACCTGATTTTAAATTATACAATATGCATGTACAGGGAGAGAGCTAATGATATAACGTAAGTAAAGGGGTCAGATATAAATCCTTTGTCAAATTTAAGAGAGCATAAATTAATTTCTTCCTTATCCGCTCTACTTGAATTAAGATGCTAATGGGGTGGGGTTGAGGTGAAGAGAAGTCCTTCACTCCCTATTAAAAAAAAGGCATGTTGGGCAGTCCTTCTACAGAACACATGTTGATGCTCCAAATTATCAATAAGAAACATGGAGGCAAAAAAGTAGTAAACTTGCTTACATATTTGTTTTCGCGTGATGCCTATCATGCTTGAATCGCCATGGCTCATATGGATAAATTAGCGGCAAGAAGGCTAGAGTTCCAACAATATCCTCCACCAATTTGTTCTTGGAAAATGATTTGTGTGCACAATCATGCCCGATGACAAAAAACTGAATGTCAAGAAGAAAAAGGAATGGAAAACTTAGCCATATCCTTTGAGAAAAAGGAGTGGCAGCATTAAAAAAATTGACACTAAATTCATCATAAAGAAAAGATGCATATTGAACTAACCCCTGTGACAGCAGTACCCGTCCACGCCCAAGCCAGGGGAAGTAAATACCAGGGTGCTTTTGAAATCATGAAAATCCCCAGTGCATAGGAAGTGACTGATATCATAACTGATTTCCATGCCTTCACGTCATCAATCTCAAAAACCTTAAAACATGTGAAGGAAAACAATATGCACCAATCATCAATATTTCAGAAGTTCTTACAAATAAAAAATGAAACCAAAAAGCCAATCAAAATGCCATAGGAAGTGATTTATTTATTACGAGCACTTTTGGAAAAAACATATTAATTATACCTTGAAACACTAAAAATGTCTTACATTTTTCTCATCATTTAACTCTTAAAAAAACATCTTACATTTTTTTAATGGGAGGAGTACTTCAACTAACTATTCTTATCACTTTCTCTCTACAACAACAACAACAACAAACCTTTATCCCACTAGGTGGGGTCGGCTACATGGATTGCAAGACGCCATTGTGCTCTATCATTTATTAAGCTTTTAGAAATATTATTAATTAAGAGATCACGTTCAACAACTTCCAAGAGTGTTCTCTTAGGCCTTTCTCTACCTCTCTTAATTGAACTCAAAGTTATATGTTCCACTCTTCTCACTGGTGCCTCCCTTGGTCTTCTTTGTACATGCCCAAACCATCTCAACCGATTTTCTACCATTTTTTCCTCAATAGGTGCCACCCTCACTTTTTCACGTATGTGCTCATTTCGAATTTTATCTTTACGTGTATGTCCGCACATCCATCGTAACATTCTCATCTCTGCTACTCCAACTTTATGCTCTTGCTGTCCCGTTAGAGCCCAGCATTCACTACTATATAACATTGCCGGTCTGATAGCAGTACGATAAAACTTTTCTTTAAGTTTATTAGGCACCTTATGGTCACAAATAACTCCTTTAGCTTTTCTCCAATTAAACCACCCAGCTTGAATTCTATGTGAAATATCTCCACTGATTTCGCCATCATTTTGAATAATGGCTCCCAAATATCTAAACTTTTCCACTTGAGGTATAATTTGATCTCCCAATTTCACTTCCAAATTATTTTCGAATAGTCCTTTACCAAATTTACAATATAAATATTCCGTCTTACTTCTACTCAGACGAAAACCTTTCGACTCCAATGTCCTCCTCCATAACTCAAGTTTGCAATTAACCTCTTCTCTTGTCTCTGCTATAAGAACTATATCATCCGCGAAGAGCATACATTTCAGGATTCCTCTTGAATATGTTCCGTCAAAACATTTAAAATCAAGTTGAACAAATAAGGACTCAGAGATGATCCCTGATGTAGTCCAATCTTTATAGGAAAATCCTTTGTTTGACCACTAGGCGTTCTTATACTAGTTTTTACCCCCTCATACATATCTTGTATGGCTTTAATATAAGCAATTCGTACTCCATTTTTTTCCAACGCTTTCCAAAGCACTTCTCTTGGTATACGGTCATAAGCTTTTTCCAAATCAATAAAAACCATGTGTAGATCTTTATCTTTACAACGATACTTTTCCATTAATCCCCTTAGTAGATAAATCGCCTCTGTAGTTGATCTACCTGGCATAAAACCAAATTGATTCTCAGAAATACTTGTCTCCAATCTCAACTTGTGCTCAATTACTTTCTCCCACAATTTCATTGTGTGGCTCATGAGTTTAATTCCTCTATAGTTAGTACAATTCTAAATATCTCCTTTATTTTTATAAATAAAAATTAATGTACTTCTCCTCCACTCATCAGGCATTTTCTTGGACCGTAAAATCACATTAAATAACTTAGTTAACCATCTCACCCCTTCTTCACCTAAACATTTCCACGCTTCGATAGATATACAATCAAGTCCGTTAGCTCTACCATTTGCCATTTTCTTAAGAGCTTCCTTTACCTCCTTATCACGTATTTTTCGATAGAATGACAAATTTTGTTCTCCTTCACCAGTTACTAAATCCTCCAAGTTACTAGATGAATCCTCTCCATCATTGAAAAGTTTAGAAAAATAAGTCTCCCATCGATTTTTTATTTCATCATCTGTAACTAAAATTCTTCCCTCTTCATCCTTAATACACCTTACCTGTTCTAGATCTCTTGATTTTCTTTCCCTACTCTTGGCAATCTTATAAATATTTTGCTCTCCTTCCTTCGTCTCAAGGTTCTTATAAAATTCTTCAAAAGCTTTGGAACGAGCTTCACCCACAGCTCTCTTAGTTTCTTTCTTAGCCATACGGTACCTCTCCCAATTTTCCTCATTGTTACACAAATGTATGGCTTTAAAACAGTTCTTCTTATACTTGATTTTGTCCTGTACACTATTATTCCACCACCAAGACTCCTTATCTCTCAGACCAGAACCTTTCGATTCTCCCAAAACTACTTTTGCAACCTCCCGTATCTTTTTAGCCATATCCTCCCATATGATGTTAGCACTTCCCTGAGAATCCCAAATTCCTTTATCCAAAAGATTTCGCTTGAAAATATCTTGCTTCTCACCTTTTAATTGCTACCACCTAATCCTTGGTGTTACTATTTGTGACGTTTTTGAATTTTACTCATAATACACACATCAAGGACTAGGACCCTATGTTGTGTCGTTACAGCATCTCCAGGGATCACCTTACAATTTTTACAAAGTTTTCTATCTGTGTTCCTAACCAAAAGAAAATCAATCTGCGACCTTGAGACTCCACTTTTGTAAGTGATGAGATGCTCATCTCTCTTCTTGAAACAAGTGTTGGCAATCTTAAAATCATACGCCAATGAGAAATCAAGAAGAGTTTGCCCTTCATTGTTTAGCTCTCCAAAACCAAAACCACCATGCACCCTCGCATACTGACCAGCTTCCCTCCCGACATGCCCATTAAAGTCTCCTCCAATAAAAATCTTTTCACTCTGTGGTATGTGTCGAATCAACCCCTCCAGATCCTCCCAAAATAATTCCTTAAGACTGGCTTCTGTCCCGACTTGCGGCGCATAATTGCTAACAATATTAACAGTCTCACGTCCAATTATCATTTTTAAAGAAATAATTCTGTCTCCAATTCTGCTAACTTCTACAACGTTCTTCTTCCACTCCTTATCTATAATGATGCCTACTCCATTGCGTGCACTTACTTTTCCTGTATACCAAAGTTTGAAACCTTGAATATCCTTAGCTCCTTCTCCACGCCATTTTGTTTCTTGCAAGCAAAGGATATTGATTTTCCTTTGAATCATAACCCCTACAACCTCTACAGATTTACAATTTAATGTCCCAACATTCCAAGTACCAAATCTAATTTTGCTCTTATGGACTAACTTCTTTAGCCGCGTGCGTCCAGAATGACGCAGTAGCCCTTGCTCATTTAACACTACATCCGGGCGCCGATGCAGCGGCTCTAACTCACTTATCACTGTACTCGAGCCATGCAGCGCGTTACTTACGGGCAACGACCTAGCATTAACATTATAACGTCTATTGTCCATGTTCATGATAGATTCAACAAATTTTTACATTGGCTGTTGATGGCCTAACACAACCCTCCTCCTTTACCCGGGCTTGGGACCGGCTATAAACATAGGCGGAATTCACTTTCTCTCTATTATACCTAAATAGAGAGAGGAGGGTGAGAGTTGGCTTAAGAGGTTGAATAATTATATAGTGATATATTGACAATTACACCTTCTTTCTTAGAATGTGTGGAAATATACCATCATTGATGCTCTCTTAAAAAGAACATCCTCTACCGCAACAAGAAACTGGCTAAATAATTTCATTCAAGAGTACCAACCAACATATAGATTGTTACAGAATATCTTACAAGTAGCTCTATTAAATAACAACAGAAGTTCTGTTCAGAAGTGGTGTATTAAAACATGACATGGATCTGGAGAAACTTACTTTCTTAGGAAGCGAATCGATAATATCCTTTAAAGCAACATTTTCTGGAAGTGGTTCCCCAATTTGCCTAAATCCGTAGCTTTCGGCTAGTTGTTTTCTGTACTCAGCATTGTCAGCTGGAGATACTGAAACTGGAACCGCCACACCTTGTATGACAGTAATTTTCTTCCTTGGAATTAAGTGTCTATGATTACCAAGCCCCTTTGGGATAAGCCTGTCCCCCTTTATATTACATAAGCCTGTAGCAGAATAAGAATTAAGAATCAACACATAAATAGGCACAACCATGTATTCATGCCAATTAAAGGTTTGAAAATTGGCGGGTTACCACTCACTCACTGCATACTATTTTGCAAGGATACACTATTACTAACTTGAACTTTCTTGCTTATTTATCAATATCAATTAAATAACAGAATGAAACCTTTGTTGCATTCAGTAACAGGTTTGCAGAATAACACAAGGCATGTTCTGAGAAGTTAAATAGTGAACTCCTTTCAGTCCTTAATGGTTTGTAAGATCCAATGTCTTTTTCCCCATTGGCATAAACTCAATTGTGACGCTAAATAAGGACAATGCAATTACCAAATACCAAGTGACATCACAGAGAACTTGAAGCAGGGAAATGAATGAAGCGTTCTACATTTAGACTCAAGTCTTGAAGCCAAGACTACCTGGTAGGTTTTGGGCAGCAATCCTTTTCTGAATTGGCTTCTGATGGGAGCCCTGGAAAAACACAAACCAAATTAACCTATGGCATATAATTAAATTCATCCCCCCCCAAAACAACAACAACAACAACATCATCATCATCATCAGCTAGAAACTTCAAACTCAAAAGTGAAAGGAAGGCGAAGAGCAATGTAAAACCATGAAGAGGACAGCAGAATCCGCAAGCCTAGAAGCCATGACGAGCAGAATTTAAGAAATTCAAGCTCAGACGAGCTCCCTTTCGCCGAAAAGATAACGCTTTTCGCTTGAGCCAGCGAACGAGTGGCTCATTAGCGAACAGGGTCGGTGAGTTGTATCATTATATAACAGGGTTTTCCCATTCCCTTGCATGAGGCCGGTCTTTGGGAATGTGGGACCCACCAAAATGTGGACACAATTTTTATTTTTTCGAGCCTCCAATCTCCATTCAGATTCTCGTTGAGTCAGAGTCACTTGCGACGTGCATTTCTCAAGAGTCAAGGCTCATCCTCCTCCTCCAGCTTTCCGCTCCACTTGTTCTCCCTACTCTACCGTCCAAACAGTGGTCAAGTGGTTATGAAATATAAAAATAATAAAACTTATAAATATAAAAATAATAAAACTTATATTTATATGCAGTTATTTTATAATTAGGTCAGATGTTATTCATTGATAATTTTTTAAGATGTAGCAAACATACATATATTTTCTAATAACAAATTTTTTTATTAAAAAAATATTTTTAATCAAATTGTAATTTCAATAAATTAATATTTTTCTTTAAACTAATATAATTTTTTCATGCTTGTCCTTAATTAATAAGGCGTCTTACTTAAAGGTGAAGAATTGAGTCATTTATTTATTGAAACTTTTTTGAAATAAACTAATTAATTACATGTTAAAAAATTAAAAATGTCTTTTATATAATATTTACACACACATATATTATTTTGTCTTATCAAATACTTCAATGAATTTGGATGGATTGTAGCCAAAGAGTGTCTTCCCCTCTAAGAATTGAGTTAGAGGCAACTCAATCCAAATTCTTATATAGTCTTTGTCTTTGATATGAAAAAGGGAATGAGATTTCCAAATCCATAATTTTCCTAATATTTATTATATCATTTATTTATTGCTTAATAATACTTAACATTACTAATTTGTATTTCTTTAATTATCTTTTTTCATTACACACGTTAGATAATTCTGTTTAAGGTATAGTTGAATACTAAATGTAAGTATATCTCTTATTAAGTTTTTAATTATCTTTTAATAGAGATGCAATGTGTATTTTTTTTTTATGAAAACACAAAATGTAATTTAAAACATAATTGAACTTATAATTTCAAGAGAATATATATAATATACAATATTATAATAAAAATTTGCATAAGTTAAATATCTACAAAAATATTTTCTAACTAAATAAAGGGAGGGGAAATTTAACCCTCTCCTTTAACCAAACAAAGATTTAATGAAATATTTATAATTAATTTTCAAAAATTTCCTTCTCTATCTATAATAGCTTCTCCACCCTCTCTTCTAAACATGCTATACCAATTACCAAATACCAATCATAAAATAATTTTGAAAAGTTGAAAAAAATTTAATATTTAATTATCATTAACTGATTTCTTAATATGAGGAAAATAGTTAACATAATCATATAAACCCATATTTATCTAAGATTGATTATGTTTTTATTATTATTTACTATTTGGCGTTTTTGGACTAAATTTGAGTATTATGGGACCTAATTAAAGGAACCCCCTAATTCTTTTTTCATCTATAAAATTTAAATTCATAATTACCTTACTTAATGATAGTAAATATCATCCCCTCAATCCAAGCAATATTGGAATTGGAATATATTTAAAATTAATAAGAAAGAGAAAATTGAATAAGATTCTTAGAAGTGGGTATATGTATCTTTCATGAACAACAAGTCAAGAAATGAAAATGAAGGAGGCGGGTTTAGTAGGTAAATGGCAATTAGTTCGTGGATGTCACATAATATAACGTGCAGATTGTGTTGGTCTGTTGGAGATTTCAAACAACACGAACAATGGTTTTCACGTTTGAAATTGTCTTTTTTTCCTTATGTCTTAAAGTTCCGTTTCCACTTTCAATCTCCTCTCTCTCTCTCTCTCTCCCTCCCTCTCTCCCCCCCCCCCCCCCCCCCCCTCCCTCACACACACACACACACACACACACAACACGAACAATGGTTTTCACGTTTGAGATTATCTTTTTTTTCCCTTATGTCTTAAGGTTCCGTTTCCTCTCTCTCTATCTCTTAGTCCATAAACTTTTAAAAACCTTTACTCAATGATCGATTTAGTTCCTAGATTTGGAATTGAAAATTTAAAATAATATTAAATTCTATTTATAAGTCATTTTGAACATATTTTATTGAAATAAAAAAATATTAAAATTCATTACTCTATCTAAAACTTTAACAAGTTCTCAATTTCACCCCTATTAAATATATATATTTTAATAATATATTTTATTTTCAACAATTAATAAATGTTAAAATAAAAAATCAGTAAAAAAAATTTAATGACATGACTCATAAAGAGACACAAAAATATTTGCTCTTTGCTTTATAAATAGGACAAGAGGAAGTATAGTTTATTGATTTGAAACAAATCAGTTTTTATAGTTTTTTTTTTAAATTCAATACAAATCAATTCATATAATTCCTTAACACTGTGAATTACAAAGATTAAATTATACATTGAATCAACACTCAATTACTCAATTGATAATTGAAAAAAAGCTTAGAAACTAAATGTTATATTATCCCTTAAAATTTTGATTAGAGCTAGTAAACGGATGGGCCTAGACCACATGAACTCATGTCCAAAAGCTTTATTATCTGAAAGTCAGTTTTTTTTCCCGACAAAATCAACCTTTATTAATTGGACTTAAGGTTGGACCTATAAGTCTTTTTAGTTTTTTAAAAGTTAATTTTTACATTTTAATATTACATATTTACTTTCTAAAGTACATATATTCTAAAATCTAAATTTAATTTAAAAATTAAAAATATCTCATCTTTTGGGAATAAAATTAAATACAAGCTTAAATAGATAGCCCAATCTTAAGCTTTTTTTTAAAAAAAATTGAATAAGTCAGGTTTAGAAGCTCTTGTTATGTAAAAATATTTCAATTTAAAATCCTAAAACACGGGCAACCTAATAAGCCTGACATATTTTCTCAACTGTAAGTTGAACTAATGATTCCACGATCTCATATATATATATATATATATATAAAACCATTGGAAGGTAGAACCATCTTTTGCCGCCTAAAGAATTTGTCGAACTTTTTTACAAACAACATCAAATTCAAATGGCATAGATTAAATTTAGACTATCTAAAAGATTATTATTTTTTGTTGTAAAAATCCGTTTCCTATATTTTACTTGGTGTTAGGCAACAAAGACCAGAAGATAAAGCAGCAAGGATATAAAAAAGAATGTGCACTCCTTGTGCTTACCATATGATAAAGACATCAATTAGTAAGTGGACAAGATATCCGACCACTGTTCATGTAGATCTTATTTATACGATATAGATAGAAAATTAATTTTAGTTTTATTTATGAAGAACTTCATTATTTTCTATACTTATCTTTATATTTTTATCCTTATTAAATGACAGAAAAAAATTATTAAAAATAATTCTCTTTGTCTTTATTGAGGATATAAGTAAAAATTTATTAAATTTTAAGATAGAGTTAATAAAGTTTAAGATTTTTTATAATTATGATGAAATATGGTGAAAATAATTTATAAATAAATTAGAAGGAGTATGAGTTAAAAATGCACCAATGACTTAAGCTACCAAACCACTAGACACACCACAAAGTTATGCATCTCAGAGTAGAGAAAATAGCTATATCACCCAAGTAGAGCAAGCGAATAGATAAGCTCAAGTCTTGTGAGAATTAAGATACTAAAGAAGAAAGTCTCTTAATTTTAATTATAGCCCAAGTCTTATAAATGTAAAATTGACAATCGAGTTAGTCTGACTTATATGGACACGACACTTATGAGCTTGGCTCATATCATATGAGCTTAGACTTACAAAGCTCTTTACATAAACTTGACAATTTCTTCAAACGCAATCGATCGAGTTTAGTATTGTGCCTAAAAGCTCATTTTTTATTTTTTAAAAATAAGTTTGTCATTATTATATTATATTATATTTATATATATATATGCTCTAAATTACAAATTAAAATATTCTAAAATTCAAAATAAATAATACAAATAATAATTTTACAATACAAACACATTCGAAAGTCTAAATTTAATTCAAAGATATCAAATACTATGATTTTTCAAGGTTAAAGTTAAAATAAATATGGGTGAGCCTGAACTTGAAGTTTTAAGGTTTAAAAAGCTAGTCTTAGAGAGGTCCTTATGTATAAAAATTTCTTAATTTTCAAAGCCCAAATTAAAAGAAAAAGGGTTTAAACGGATAGTCCAAAGCCAAGCACATATTCTCACATCTATACAAATGAATGGCTCATGAATAAAATAATTAAGTCATTTCTTAACACCTTTGTCATAATAGAGAATTTGAGCCAACTATATATATCATAGAGCGAGCTTAGGCTATGTTTGGATTGCTGTTGAAAGCTTAGTGGAAGAGTAACGAGCGTTTTGGCTGAAGATGGTTGAAGGAGCTTCTCACTGTGTGGTCAGGTTTTGGTGGACGATGGTGCATTCTCTCTCTCCTACTTATCTTCACAAGTCACAAACCTTTTGACCCCCTCTCGTCTCTTTGCTTTGCCTTTGATCTTTAGAAGCTCTTCACCTCCTCCTTCTCGCTGCTGTCGCTAGTAGCCTGTTGTGTTCGCTATCGTCCTTGTCTAAGAAGGCCTTGCGTCTTGCCTTTCCTGGTCTATGTTGCTCACCATCCAGATTGCATCGTCCTTCTTCTTCTTCTTCTTCTTGCGTTGAGATTGTGTTGCTCACCGCCTTCTTCTAGCTATCGGATTTGCTGGATAGAGTAAAGAGAGGAGGAAGGGGATGAGTTCTCAAGTCTCTATTTGTTTAATTTTTCTCCTTTTTTGCCATTTTTTCTTTTGTCAAAAGATTAAAAAAAATGATGTTGTTTGATTCACTATGGCCGATTAAAGCTGTTAAATTTATTTTAAAAAAACTTTCAAAAAATATTATTTTTTATTGTTTTCTAATTTTTAAATATTTTGACAAGTATATATTCCCTCTGATCTTTATTATAGGATACTTTCAACTGTTTTATGTATATTAAGAAAAATAATTTTTTTTTCTTGATATCATAAAAAAGTGATATATATTTTCATTAAACCCTTGACTCTAAGTGATGACACGATTAAATTAAATGATTTTACACTAATCAAGAAGGGATAAACTTAAAAAAAGTAATTTAATTGTTAAAAGGTA